TCTTATAAGTGTAAGTAAAATCAAAGACAAAAAAAAAAAAAACAATAGAAAAGTTTTTTTTTCACCAGGGTTACCCCTACACCTGTTAGGAAAGCTTTTCACCCAGTGCCTTTCATATCTGAGTTTTTAGTGAAAATGCAATGAAACAGTTTTAGCCTTTTTGGTCAAACCTTGTAATGACATCATGCATGATAATTTTAGAGTTAAGAATATTGTTTTTTTTTTTTTAATGTGTCAGCACTTTGACTGAGGTCTAGCTGTTTTTGCTAGCTAAGATTGGCTGTAGTGGACATCTTTAGCCTCACTAAATTCTGGTTCACATTTTGCTAACAGACAGAACATGCTGACTTTARCAATTTTTGCCAAAGTTTTAAGTAAAAAACAACAACTTTTCTAGTCTCATCGACAGCACCTCAGTCTCCTGTCCCCCAGGTTCGGAGTCTGGGTCTCATCCTAGACAACACATTATCATTTATACCCCATATCAGTACCATCACTCGTTCAGCCGACTTTCACCTCCGTAACACGGCTCGTCTCCGTCCACCCCTCTCACCCAGCAGTCCTGCTATTCTGGTTCACTCTTTGTCACATCACATTTAGATTATTGCAACTTATTTGGGGTTTACCAGCAAAATCTAGCTAAAGCCTATTTTCTACTTCTATTCCTTACATTTTCAAGCAATTATCTGTACCTAAAAAAGCTAAAAGTATTTCATTTCTAGTTCACTTGCGCTGGTTTTCATTCCAATTTGTCACTGTTCAAAATTAAATGAATAAATCTATTCAGATATATGGCACCTCTGGGATAGAGTGAATTTAATTGTGGTTGGATGAGAAGCATCAATATAAATCATTGTGATACTATTGGTTTGTACTAAAACCATCACAGCTGACACAGTATGACACAAATCACGCCACACCATATCAGCCGTACGTAGCTTAGTTTTGAAGATGACTGTGGCAGAGATATACAGTACGTGTCTGAAACAGGTAGACTAGTGCATCTCAATTTTTTCAACATTATATAAACCTTAATTTTAACAAGCAAGTCAGATGAGAACCATTTCTCATTTACATTGACAACATAGTCATTGATGACTTTAGAAAATAGCATTTTGGGGACGTGGGTTTATGCATGATAGACCCCAGTGGCATGGTCAATGCTTTTGTCCCAAATGGCTTTTCCCCCCTTATTTACATTACTTTTACTTTTGTACTTCAAGTAGTTTTAAAACCAGTTCTTTGGCAACTTTGGCAACATTTTCACGGTTTGTCGGGTAAAAAAAACGCAGGACTCATTCAAGGATTTCAAAACTTAAACTGAACGTTAATAAAAAACTAAACAAAAAGGCAGCATAACTTACAGAAACTGAAGATCACTGTGAGGTGGATTGAAGAGAAGTGAGATGAAAGACGAACAATGCTCCACTGAGGAATGAACGAGGTCTGAACCACTACTGTATTTTTGCCTGAGGCTAATGAAGGAAGTGGCTGCAGCTGTGACCCATGCGAACGACAGCAGATGTAGATGTGTGTGGCAGACTGAGGGGTAAGAGCTAACAGAGGAGCAGAAACAAAACAGAAATCGAGGTCATTGAAAAGCTGTTTAAAACAGGTAAGATATTAATTGTTTAGAACCTTTCTTCAGAACAACACTTCAAAACATCATTTTAAGATGATGTAAGGTTTTAAAGTTTTGTTCTATACATACAAAGTTTGGACCCACTGTTTTTTATTTTTTTTTACTTTTCCACATTACATTATGTCTCAGAGTGAACTAATAAGCAGCCAGTTTTATGGTGTAAAAGTAAAACCAATATTCTGTCAGGTGWCAACAACTCAAAATGTAATGAATATAAAGTAGTAGCTCTCTCACTCAGTTTGTATTTAATTCAAATGTTTATTTTCCTGCTGAACAACTTTAGGTATTACATATCTGCTGAGTCAGCACATAAAGGTGTGGTTTACATTTCTGTCCACAATAACTTACAATGAATAATGATGGATCATTGTAGCTTGTGTTGGGATATATGAATACAAGGAAGAGACATCAAAGTGCAAAACGAATTGTTTACTGAAAACACATTAAAGTAAAAAAATTAAAATGCAGAATCCTAGCAGAGGAAACATTGCATGCAAACAATACAAAACTAAAAGCTTCAGACTGTGGTGATTCTCCTGATGATGTCGATTTCATCCTCCTGAAACTCTGTGGTTTGACTCTCGGTGTGCAGAGAGACGCTGCTGGAGTGCACAACGTCAGGGACCTGCAGAACAACATGTTGCTTTAACACATCAGTGCTTTCTTCAGAGCAGTTAACAGGAGGAAAAATTGAAAATGTCAAATTAAAGCCGTAAAACTTCCTGGAAACAGTATAACCCTAAGTTCTGAGTGACTGATCAAAATAAAAAAGTTAAAGTGACGGTTTGTTACTATCAGAACTGAAAGTCTGACATCAAGTCAGCAACTTCAGGACAGGACGGAATGAGAGAAAACTTAAAAACTTTCACTTGCCCCGTGTTTAAATAAATAAATAAATAAATCCAGTACCACTCTATTAAAGACTTCAGAGAAATGAACACGCCTGCCACCTTATATACTAACATTTTAAATAATCTCACCTCTCAGTGACGACCAAACCAAATTTCAGCTGAATATCTAAAAAGAAAGGTTGGATTACAGCTATTTTGGGGTTTGCTGTGGCCAGTCATCTGTGGTATCCATCTTGAATTGTGTTGAATGTAAAAAGGAATCGTTGTGGACTGACATGCAAAGATGACTTTCTTCTTTCTGAAAGTTTCATTAAAGAGATATTTTGCTAACAGACCAGGGGCCTCATGTACAAAGACTTGCGTGGATTTCTTACTGAAACATGGCGAACGGTCAAATCCAGAAAACGGCATATGCACAAAAAAATCCAGATGTATCAAACTGAGTACGCCTGAATCCACGCACATTTCTTTTGTACATCACAGTTAACGTGGAACTGAGTGCAGGTAGGACACCTCCCCTGACACGCCTTCATTAAACAGATGCAAATTACTTCCTGCATGTGTGAGGAACATGTTAGGGTGATCCCTGCGCGATCCGAAATGATTTCTAGAGTCATAAAAATAATGAATTTAATATAATGTGAGTGTAAAAAAAAATCCTAAGTAAAAATAGGAATAAAATATATTTATCACGCAAAGAACGAGTGATTGTGTGTCAGTGTGTGTGTGCGCGCAAACTGCTATGTTGCGCAACCATTACTGTGAAAACAGAGGAACTTAAATGTTTGGTAGAACATAGATCTTAGTTTATTTCAAAGCTGATATTAAGAAACCAGTCTCTGCGTCTCAGTAGAGAGTTCACATGACGTGACGTGATGTTGGAGAGTCCCCACAATCGCTGCGCACGCCGCAGCCTTTGTGTGCAGTCTGTTTGTCTGTCAACCTTCATTATGAACATAAACAAATGTCTTCTGAGTGCCCAGAATGGACCTGAGACAGGTTTAAATAACAGTGGAGACGTTACTGCACTCCCTGGTTAAACTACAGGTGACGTGCATGATCAAAATCCTGTTACACTTTGGTTTACTGTGGTAATGTGTTACAGTAATATGCATTAGCATCACAACAGCAGGAAATACAAAACACTGAACAGTTTTCACTCATGGGAATCTGTGCCTATTCCTTCAGTAGAGCATATGAAGTCAGGCACTGATGTTGATGAGAAGGTCTAGCTCTTTGTTCCGGTTCATTCCAGTGGTGCTCAGTGGGGTTCAGGGCCGTCTTTATAGGTCTTGCTTTGTTTGTGCACTGACTCAATTAAAATTGAATAGAAAAGAGTATTTTCCAAAGTGTTGCACAAAGGAACCACGTTTTCCAAAATATCATGGTGTGCTGAAGCATTAAGATTAACCATCACTGGCCAAGCACAAACTCTGACTCAGACGCCTGGATTGGACAGTCAAGAGTTAATATCTCACCGGGCTGCAGCTGTAAGATTAGTTGGAAAAAAGTGAAACTTWAGAGCTTCAGGTTGCAACCAAGTGACCAGTGAGTCACAGAACCATGTTTTTCTTGACCAATTAAAAAAAAAAATCACTGCTTATTTTTTAGTGTGCACAGTTTGCAAACCTGTATCCTAGATTGTGCACACTGTTGTGTTGCCCACCTGTCCACATTGAGCCGCCCACACATTTACGATTGAGTCTATTGGAGTTTACTTTAAAAAAAGACAGACATGTTTATACCAGCTTCTTTTATTTGTTTGTTTGTTTGTTTGTTTGTTTGTTTGTTTGTTTGTTTGTTTGTTTGTTTGTTTGTTTGTTTGTCATTTTTTACTGGTGTGGATTTCCTAGAAGTTATAATGTCTCTAGAATTATCAGAAACTAAATGTAAATGGTTTCAAAACAGATTTGAGATGGGTTTAAAATGGGTTTATTTCTGTCAGTTTTTCAGCTTCCTCTTTTGTTTTTTTAGACTTGCCGTATGAAATGTGGAAAAGCTCATCCGGTTTTGATTTCCAATGGTGACCGTACTGCTGTGCACATCTGTAATGTAAAAAACAAAAAACAGTTTTCGCTCTTCTTTTAAAGCAACAGCCTGCTCACCCAAACACAGAATCAAAGCAGGCATCAATGAAACAAAACAATTTGTGAGGTTTAGCTCAGACAAAGAAACAAGCACAACATTCCAAGTTTAAATATATATACATATATATATATATATATATATACATATATAAACACAACACAATGATTGTGTTAGATGGGCAAAAGATATTGCTCCACATTGAGCATATGATGATGATGAAGTTCAATGTTTTCATTTGGCCTTGATGTAATTGAATCATCAATAATTTAATTGCTATATCAATGTGGATCAATGTATTTTTACACCCTTATTTCCATGTATCATTAGTAAACCAGGGAGATACTAATTGTATATTATAATCAGTTTCAAATTGCATAATGTAGTTATTTGGAAATAAAGTTGTTTTTAACCCTTTAACTGTCACCCCTGAAATAGCTTAAAAGCCTTTTGACATTTTTTATTTTTTGTAAGGGTGTCAAGCTAAAGGTAAGAACTGGAGGAAGTCGTCTGAAACCCTAGTTTTCAAAAAATAAAAAATAAAAATAAGCCCCCGGTAGCATCTGGAAATGTTTAAAGGCAGAAACCGCAGTTATTTCCCACCGGTGGAAAAAAAAAAGGCTGTTATCATTATCTCACAAATTAAACATTAGTTTAGTCCAGTCAAAATCAAACGCTGTTTCTCCAAACAGCTGATAAGTTATAAATGTTCTAATTCTTTTCCACAAAAGCACACTTCAAAATATCCAAACTAACCCTTTAGTACATAACATCAAATGTATATTAAAGAAAAGATGTTCAAAAAGTGACACACAGAAGTTAGCTCAAACACATTGTAAGGGCGTTAAAATTGGGAAAGTATTCAAAAAATACACTTAAAAATTTTAAAGCACCCTGAATTAAATATTAACATAAATCTTAAAATTGCCTAAATGATCTTAAACAGTAAAGTCTGTAACTCCCTCACCTGTTGGGCCGTCATCAGAGAAGCTGAAGTTGACCTTCCCACCAGTCACTTCAGCAACTGAGCTGTTCCCATACGATGATTGGTCGGACCTGCAAATGCCCAAGAGAACAGTCCAGTGGAACAGATAACCTTTAGCTGAGAAATGGCAAAAACCACATTGTCAGAGGCCACGCTGTTGTGAACAGAACATTTTCTCTCCCTACTGAGCTACAGTCTATAGATCAGAGACTTCGGTATTGTTCACAGCAGAAAGTACTCTGACAGATAAAAAATGAGCGCCATCATCAACTTTTCTTCACTCCGTTTCATTAGAGCCAACCAGAGTCCTCAGCTCTGACTCTGTTTAAGCTGCATGAAAAATGCTGACTCTTATAATGTTATATGAGCTTTAAACTAGTTGAATCGTAATGAACTCGCTGTAAATCATGAGGACAATTTATTGAGTGTGACTTAAAGGTGGTGTGGTTTTTTTTCCTGCATGAAAAGAATCAATAATTAGACTATTCCTTCCCAGAAATTCAGTTTGGAGTAATGAGCCTTTAAACATAAATGAATCTCAGTGTAGTCATTTTCTCTTAAAGCTCCACTGATGATGTGAAAGTTCTGATGGGAATTTGAACAAACATGCATCGTCTGTCATTATCTAAAACACGTGTCAAAGTCAAGGCCTGCAGACCATTTATGGCCCAACATAACATTTTATGAGCTTCATATATGTCTTAAAATAAACATGATCTACTTAAAAGGGATCCACGATTAGTTGTAACATTAAACTTTATTTGATAAACATTTACTTTAGACTGTAAAAGTGCTGTAGGCTGTTTAGTTTTGTAATTTTTTTAAAATGTATTTTAACACGGACTGAGCCATTTTATTTACATGCAAAGCATTCTGGGTAAATG